TTCAGTGTGATCTAGGACAGGGAAGAGAGCGATGGGATTTGGGTGAAAAAGTTAGGGTTAGGGTTGGGGTTTAGGGTTATGATTATTTAGGGTTGGTTAGGGTTAATGTTAGGGTTGGTTGGGGTCAGGGTCTCCCACTTGCTGTTCCTGACATTGGGCACGGGCAATCTCCTCCCTCAGAGCTCCACACAGGGGACAGCATAGAGGGCACGGGGTGTCACCCACTGCGACGGCCACAGTGCTGGCTGCTGGGGTCTCTTTGGGTCTCCACCACCGACCAGCCTCAGCCAGGTCCCTTCGCCTCCCCTCTCGCCCAGCACCGGGTCGGGGCCGGGTGGTGACCTGGCCATGGCGGGGGCCCCGTCCAACGCTTCGTCCTGCCGGGGACAGCCCGCTGGGGGCCCGCGGGGACGCTCGCCCTCCCCCTGGGGCCGGCAGAGGCGATAGCGGTGGCGACGGCGGTGGCGATGGCGGTGCTCATCGGTGGCGGCGGCGGTGATGGCGGTGGCGGCGGCGGCTCCCGAGGGAGGGCCGGAGGGGAGGTGCTCGCTGGATCCGCCATTGGCGCCGGCCTTGCCGTGGTTTCCTGCCGAAATCACATGGCTCTCGCGTTTCCATGGAGAGTGGCCGGGGTGGGCGCTGCCAAGCGCCTCTGAGCCGTCCCTGCCTGCTCCCCGTCCATGGGAGAGGAACAAAGGCGATGCGCCCAGCCAGGCCGGCTCCCATCGCACGCCTCTCCTGGGACATGTGAGTGCCGCCGTCCTCGGGCGCTGTCACCGCGGCGGGGGGCTCTGCTGGGGTCACCTTTTGGGGTGCGGTTGGGGGCGACGTCGGGTCTCTGCATCCGGACGGGAGAGTGGAGCGAGGGCGGCTGGGGGACCCCGCTGCCACCTCGGGGAAGCGGTGACCCCGGTGACAACGGAGCTGAGGCGCAGGGGCTGAGATCCCGTCCTGCCCCCGTGGGGACGGGGGGTGACGGCCATGTCTGGGGGCTGCCGCCTCTTCCTCCTCCTCCTCCTCCTCGCTGCGGAGGGAGGAATGCTCGGAGGAATTAATGAGACAGATCTGGCTTTGTTGCCGGCCCCATCCTCCTATCTGTCGGCCCTGCCAAGAAATCCTTTGGGAAGCGGAGGGCCGTTAACCCCTTCCCCGCTGCGCCGTGGGGCTTTGCTGCGCCCCGGCCCTGATCTGCATCCATTTATGGCACCTCCGAGAGGAGCGGGCGGCTTCACCCCTTATCCTGGCCCTGGTGACCGGAGCAGGGCTTTGCTGCGTCCCCCCGTGGGGCCGGGAGCTGGGGATGGTGGGGCCGGAGGGTGACGTGTGGCTCTGGGCTCCTTTTGGGGTGTCCAGAGGGGGCTGGGAGCCCCCCAGAGACCCTCAAGTAGGACGGAGGCTGTGACCCCCCAGCTTTGGGTTTGGTGCCGGTGTTTGGGGCTGCGTCACCGCTGTGGGGCTGCGGGGCCTCTGCTTTGCGGGGCTGTAGGGCCGCTCCCACCGCCCGGCCCCAGGCCCTGCGCTTAGGGCTATTTATAGGGCCGCTGCTTATATCTGTGCTATTTCTGCCCTGCGTGGGGATGGCGCAAGGAAGTGACGAGAGGGCTTCAGCCCAACCCAACGGGAACGACTTTGTCACCCCGCACTGTCACCTCCCTCCCTGTGCACGCTTATTTGGGTGCCCTGGGCTCCTGCCCCAGCCCCTTGCGTGGGGCTGCGTGGGGAGGAGGGCCTGCAATAGCTCACCTTTGTGTCACTGGTGCCGCTGTCACTGGAGGGGACGTGGAGATGGTGGCCTCGGAGGTGGCCTCTATGGCACATCATAGCGGTGCTGGGGATGGCAGCGCAGGGACACCGCTCAGTGCCTCTGGGATATGGGATCTCCAGGACATTTGTCCTGCCTCCAGCTTCTGCCAGTCTGTCCCCACTGGGATGCCCTGGTTGGGCTGCGGAAGGCTCAGACCCAGCAGAGAAGCAGATGATGGGACATCACACAGATGGGATGGGGGACACCACACAGGTGGGACATCACCTGGATGGGATGCCGTACCCGCATCCCTCACAGCCTTTTGGCGGCCTCCCATTGCGCAGTGCCCTCGCTGCCCACCACCAGGCAGCCCTCGTTAAGCTTTAATGAGGACAAATGAGCTGGCATGGGCCACGGCTGCAGGCGCGCTGCCTGGGCGTGTGCCGGGCACCAGCTTGGGGCGGCAGCCAGCGGGATGTCAGCATCGCAGTGCCAGCACTGGGAGCTCAGCAGTTGCATTGGGATGAAGGAGAAGGGCGATGTCACCGTGCTGGGCAGCTGGCTCTGCTCCCTGCTGGTGTCACCGGGGTGGGGGGGTGACACGGCACTCCTGCTGCCAGCTCCCTGCTGCCGTGGTGCAGTGAGCAGCAGGATGTTGTCCCCAGGTTGGTGATGGGGGAATGCTGCCCAGTGCCACCTCCTTGCGGCACAGCGGGGTGGCAGGGTGCGCCAGTGACATCTTGGGGTTGTAACACCCCTCCAAGGCTCTGCCCTGATGCTTTTCTTCCTGAACCTTGCCTGACCTCCCTCTAAAAGCAGCAGCAAACAGGAAGGGAGCCGGGAGGGAGGCGTCTCTTCCTGCGGCACTGACGGCAGCCCTTCCCAGCTGGGATGGGGCTGTGCTGCTCCAGCCTCCTCCTTGGGAGCCATGGCTATGGTCAGACAAAGGGCAGGACCCGAAGTTCACATCTGTGCTCCAGATGGGCCACGGGGTCCCATGGCTCTGCAGGGACTGGGACATGGGTTCACGCTGCCCTTATTGCTCTGCAAAGGGCTTTTCCCTGTCCTTGTACCTCTTCCAGCCCCTCAGGACGTGGAAACACGTGGGCTACCCTCACGCCCCGCTGGTTTTAATGCCGAATTCCTATGGGGCATGAGGAACACCGTGCTGTTCCAGGTACCACTGCTGTGCCCTTGGGTTCCCATGTGGGAATGGCACCCAGCAGCCTTCCAGCGCCCTACACAGAGCCACAGCTGAAGGCGGCTTCTTCACAGCACAGGCTAGGAAACTCAGGGCTAGCAAATCCTCTGCCAGTGGGGTTCAAAACTAAGCTAAATTAAAATAAAGCCGCCCAGAAGAGAGCAGCAGCGACGTGAGCTCTGGTCGGTTGTGCCATGCTTATCATAGGGGCCCCTTCCCTGTGCAGGGGACGGAGAGATGGACAGACGGACGGACGTCCTCCCTTCCCCGGCCCTTGAGGCACGCAGTGGGGCAGTGCCGTCAGCCCGTGGGCAGGGGAAGCGTGGGAGGGGACAGCCAGCACCAAGCCCTCAGTCCCGGCAGTCCTGCAGCATGAGAGCCTGCTGGGCCCCTCCGCTCCCCGCTGCACCCTGCCATGAACGACAAGCAGAGAGGTACTGAGCCCGGCAGGGATCCCAGAGCCATATAGTCACTGTAGGAAGGCTCCCCGACACCAAAACGTGGCCAGAGCAGGGCGAGGGGGACATGGTTTGGGGCTTGGGTTGTGGGGTGCTCTGTTCCCCGTAGCAGAATTCCCTTGGTGAGCTCGGCGATGCGATGCCGGAGGCACGTGTGCCCCCCACTGCTTGGCAAATGTTCTTAATCTGGGGAACCCCGGGTGGTGAGGTGGGGGATAAGGGAACCCTGAGGATTGCGGGGCACGGTGGTTGATCCTTTGGGGGGGTCTGTGGGGTGAGGGGTTTCACCCTCCTTGCCCTAGGGGAGGTGAGCCAGGGGCACTGGGGAGGGGTTCTGGCTGTTACTGTGGCACTGTGGCAGAGGTGTGGGGTTGTACTGGGTATTTGGGGGGTCTAGTGTTGGCCAGCTGCCCACCCTGCACAGAACAGGGGAATCCTGGGGCTCTTCCTGTCTGCAGGGTTAGGGGCTGAGCTGCCTGAGAATGAGCATCCTAGGGGAGAAGATGGCATTTGGGACCTTCGCGTGGTTCTGCCACCCCCACCAGGACCCAGAGGCGTTGGGGAAGAGGGTGCCACATCCCTACATGGGGATACAGAGAGGACTCATGCAAATGGACGGGGATCCCAGTGGGTGCCCCCACTCTGGGGCCCTGTCCTCCTCCAGGGGACCCATCCCGCTGGGTGCGGCACCTCCACGGCCACATCCCAGGAGATGCCCTAGAAAACAGGTCGTGCTCGAGCCACCCTTTAAGGCAGCCTCCTCCCTGGGTGCCACCTCGGGGCTGGCATCTCCCCCTCCGGGATCCACCGGGTGCCCCAGGACATGCTGCGAGGCGCTCCGTCCCCGTCGTCCCCCTGTGTGTCCAGCCCAGCCCTGCCCTTCCTCGGGGACGCTCCGAGGGGTAAATAAGCACTTCCTCCAATTCTTCCCATTAGCAGCTCCTTCCTTTTCCTGCCGCCCTCCCACTTTGGTGCAAGGAGCCGGTTCCATAGCCAAGAGGGCGGGCACCGGCCCCACGGGTGCCATCGCCCAGCGTGGGGTCCCAGCACTCAGCGTGGGGTCCACAGCTCCATGACCCCAAGCACGAATGGCTTTGGCTTCTCCCCAGCTAGAGAGCTGCTAATTTCACAGTTCCCGACTCATCTCACTCTGAACCCCAATCCCCTGCGCGCGGTGGGTGGGGGGTGGTGGGGAAGGGGCCGTAATGCGGAGGAGGTCAGAGGAGAGGCGGCTCCCAGGCCCTCCATTGATCCCCGGATGCCCCCATCTCTGAACCAGGGCAGGAAGGAGGATTGAACACGGCCAAGCGCTGTCCTGGGCCGGAAAGGGGCTGGCGGGGGGCCGGGGCGTGCAGCGGGGACGCAGCTGTGCAAACAAGGACGCAGCGGCTCGGGTGGAGGGAATGGTGCCAAGCGCCTGCGTTTGCAGGCTCCAAAGGTTCTCCCTCATGGTTTCCCCTCCTCACAAGGGCGAGTTCTCCCAACGGTGCCTCGTGTGCTGGGGGGAGCTGGGTGCACCCCTTTGTGCCAGGGGATACCTAGAGGGCGTTGCTTGGTTGACGCTGGGTGCGATGCATTTGGAGGCAGCAGCCGGGCTAAGGGCTCACAAGGAGCCGGTTTGGGTTTGGGTTCTTGGGGCGTCTCAGCCTCCCGCTGTGTTGATAAACCCGAAAGAGCGACCTGAGGCTGCTGTCTGAGTGTCAGGAACAGAAACCAGCCGGGACCAACCCAGCCGGTCGGACTGCCCCCTCCATGCGCCGAAGGAAGCTGCTAGCAGCATTCCTGGGATTGGAATCATCTGCGGAGCACCAGGCACGGGGAGACGAGCAGCAGCCGGGTCCGAGAGCCCAGGGGAGGGCCGTGGCGTCCCCACCGCACTGCCTGCAGCAGCTGGACGGAGCGATGGGGATGGACGGACAGATGGACAGGCTGTAGGACTGGGAGAGCTGCAGGTGCTCCACAATCCCAGGGCGGTGAGGCGCATGGCTTTGTCAGAAGGCGGCTTCGTTAGCACTCTAATTAGGGGCAGGGGCTGTGGCTCTGTGGGGCTGTGGGGCTGTGGGACTGGACCTTTGGGCAGGGACACGAGGCTGCGTGGGGACCTGTGGGACTGCCACCCACAGGAAGCAGGAGGGATGTGCCGTGGGCTCGGCGGGTGGCAGGGACACAGACATGTGGGTGACCCACCCAGTGCTGGCTGCCCCATGGCGAGGGGCTCCGGAACCCCACGGGTGAGGAGCTGTGGCCACTATCCCTTCCAAACGTGCCCCAGGCTCGGTGCTGTGGCGTACCAGGTACTCCTTATCTCGGTAATGTCAGGAATGCGCCATGCTGGGGTTTCTCTTCCGCCAGCAGAGCGTGCCAGGAACAGACCCTGCTGCCACTCAGTGCCCACGTGTGCCAGGCTCGAGCATCTCAAGCAGTCCTGCAAACCGTGAGCAGGATGGGGTTCATGGGGTACTCCCCTCCTCAGTGAGCTCCTGGCCCTGGGGCTGGGGACATGGCAACACGAGGCTGGAGCTGATAACTGCAGTGTCAAGGTGCTTTGGGTTGGGAGGAAGCCACAGTCCCCAGGATGGAGCGTGAGGGTACGGAGCTGGCCATGCCATGTCATCACTGCTGGCAGTGCTCCTTGTGGTGCTGATGCTCGAGGTCAGATGCATGTCCCAGTGTGAGGGACACCCTGAGGGGTTTGGGGATACACTGAGCATCACTCCATCCTGCCACTGCTCCCTGGTGACAACCTCAGCATCTTTCACCTCCTGAAGGCCCCTCCTGGAACACCCGCCATGCCCTTGGGAATGTAAAGGATGGGCTCCACGTGTGCCTAGCACTGCTGTGGGGCTGCTGGGTGCTTTCTCCATAGAACAGCCCACCTGTGCCGCAGGCCCTGCTTGCTCAGTGGGGAGCAGATTAAACCGCCCTGCAGAGGGTAATCTGCCCAGGCCCTGCAGGGATTACAGCTCCTCCTAATGAGCTTAATTGGGGCAGCGTTGTCCTGGTGACTGAAGGGACCAAGGCGACACCGAGACCCACAGAGCTGCTTGGCTCGGACCGAGCACAGAGTGTGGGACCTGCTGCACCCTGGCCCCATTTGCACAGAGCAATCAGCAGTGGCAGCTGGTGGCTCCTGTGGCCTTGGTGCGGTGTCCCTGGGCGCTGAGGACACGGGGCATAGCACAGTGCCGAGGAGGCTGGGGCATGGCTTTGTGTTGGCTGGGCAGGTGCGTGCTGCGTGGGGACGGTTGGGATGGGCTCAGAGCTCTGTCACACCCTGGGCACCCCACCCCGGGGCTGCTTACACCAGGAGGAGCCACAGACCCTCTGCTTCTGCATCCAGCGGTGGCTGGAGAGGTGATGATGCTCTCCAGCTGGCAGCTGGGTCAGGGCTTTGGCACTCAGGGATTGGTTCTACCTTGCACGGGACATGTGGGTGCCGTTGCCATGAGGACAGGCAGCATTTTCAGGGCTCCTGCAGTGGCCACGGGGACTTCTCGGAGGACCAGGAATAGCTCTGCCTTTCCCTTCCTGACAACAGAGCTCCTGGCAAAGGCGGGGGACTTTCCAAAGTGCTTTGTTGTCGGCAGGTTTCCGTCCTGCTCACAGGGCTGGGCAGCAGGGTCCTGCCCCACACACTCCTGTGCTTGCTGAGGGTGGCAGGGGGACTGCAGGACACGTTTGGTGACAAGCAGGGCTCCAGGGGCTTTGCCATGGCCACGTCCTGGAGGAACCACGGTGGGCATGGGGCTTCAGCTTCTTCCCATGGGCCATGTGGTGATGTACCCGGGGGCTGCTCAGTGGCTGCCCCATGCCTTCCTGGCGGTGACCCCGCTGCCTTGTGTCCCCGTAGGGAGGCCCTCCAGGTCACACTCAACGATGTCGCTGTCTGCGCGGCCGCAGCGCCGAGTCCTCGTCGCCAAGATCAATAGGAGCCAGTCGTTCGCCGGGGTGAACTCGACAGCAGAGCGGCCCTTCAGGTAGGAGATGGGGGCTGGTGCTGTGCGGCACGCTGGGGGCTGGGCACGGTGCTGTTACCCAAGGTGCTGTCCCTTCTCTCCATGGGAACATTGGTGGTACCCAGAGATGTGGCACTGGGGCTGCTGAGCCCATCCTGTGTCACCCCAACGCTCGGTTGTCCCTGTCCCAGGGCAGGCACGGCAGGGTGGTCCTTAGGAAGTTCCTCAGGGCTGCCCTGTGACCACCCCAGCACATTTAATGACTGGTAGAGGAACGAATGTGGTCTTGAAGAAGCTTTGTGTGTCAGCTCCTCAACGTCCCATGGCTGCAAGTTTCTCCCTCAGTGCTGGTGTGAGTCAGGGCTTCCTCTGGGCCGTCCTAAACCTGGTGCTGGAAGGTTTTTTTGGCTGCCCATGAGCTCTGCTGTGAGGATCAGCAAGCAGCCGGTCCTTGCTCATCCTCTCCGCTGCTGGCGACATGGTGGCACCCATCACATCCTCCCTTCTTCTGTGCCAAACTTACATCAAGGAGAACCACCCTGAGCCTTCCTCTGCTCCCTTCCCAGCTCCTTGGGTGGTTCTTGAGACACAGACGTGCTGTAGGTTTGGACTGTGCCATTTTAATGCTTTGGAGCCCTTTTTGGTTCTCCTTACCTCCCAGTCCTAGCAAGGAGTCGTTGGGAAGTGGTGGCACGAGCGAGCCGTGCTCCAGCGGCACCTCCAAGCAGGCAGCCCCGTGGCACGGGCACGTGCCCACATGGAGCTTCCCCATGCCTGGGAGCAGCTCCCCAGCCACACTCGGCTCTTCCTTGTGATGCCCAGAGCCTTGGCAGATGAGGAGGGGGAAGGGATGGATGTGCAAAACAAGCACTCGCCCATCATGTTGGCTTGGGTTGAGGCCAAGATATTCACTTTCCCGTACTGATGCTTCAGGGAAGTCTTCTGGCTGCTCTCCGAGGAGTCACGTAGGATGGGAGGTCCAGGCCAGGACTAGTGACGTGGCTACATTAGAGGGCAGAAGGGAAGGGCTGTTCTGCCTGGGGCATTGCTGGTGGGGCCGGGCTATGCTCACATTGCACAAGGCAGGAGGGGAAGTGTTAGGATGCGCGGTGCTTCTGGGTCATGGAGGTATCTCTGTGATATCTGTGCTCAGCTGTGCTGATGGGGGGGGGGTGACAGGCACATGGCCCCATGCTGCTCCTGTGCTGACACCTGAGAGGTCTCTCTCAAGGATGCACAATGGCCACCCAAAGCACTGAGGGTGGAGCAGAGTGTGGTTACTCTCTAGAGAATGTTTGGGGCTGGAGATGGTCACTCTAGGAGAGCAGCTTGGCTCTGGCAGGTGCACGTTTGCCTTTGCTCCTCCTAAAAGGAGCTGAGGATCCCATGGAGGCATGCCCACAGCCAGCATCTCGGGGTCCTCTGAGATGGGATTGATTCCCTGCTCTTCTCCACCGTGAGCTTAGTGGGTTTGCCTTGTCATAGAATCATAAATCATAGAATGCCTGAGGTTGGAGGGGACCTCAAAGCCCATTCAGTTCCAACCCCTTGCTGTGGGATGGGTGCCCCATCCATGGCCATGGGCATCTCCAAGGACGGCACACTCACAACTCCTCTGGACAACCTTTCTTCCATGTCCACTTTGGGGCAGCTACATGCACCCAGAGACACAGGCACGTGGGGCAGGCAGCATTTCCCAGCCCTGCAATCGCACATGGCCTCATCCCGCCCGGCCCTGCTGGCCGGTTTGACTGGGTGCCGGGGAGCTGTGGGAGAGGCAGGCAGGTCGGGACGGAGCTCTTGGGACTTGGCCTCCTTTCTGGAGCTCCTTGTTGTGAGATGGGCACCCAGGAGGACCCCAGTGCCGTGGGCTCACCATGGCCGTGTCGGCTTCTCTGGCTTCTCTCAGCAGGAACCTCTCACCCTTCACACCCACCGTCTCCCGCAAGACTGGCTCCAGGGTCAGTAGGATGTTCTCAATGTCCCACAAATCCCCACCACCCAAGGTGCCTCAGCCCAATCGCCTAGATGAGGTGTACGAAGCGCTCAAGAAAGGTCTGACGTAAGTGCTGGGGCTGCTAGGAGGTTGGGATCGGGGTGCCCCCAAAGGTGTCTGTGGGGCTGGGTGGTGTGGGCTGAGGTCCCCGTCTGAGCCTGCGGTGCTGCTGTCCGCAGGGCCTACCTGGAGGTCCACCAGTTGGAACTGGAGAAGCTCAGCACCCAGATCCGTGAGTCCAAGAGGAATTCGCGCCTGGTGAGTGGTGCTGGGAAGAGTCTGTAGGGAGAGGGGCTTTGTGCAGATGCTCGGGGTGCTGGTCATGGTTGGGGCAGCTCACGGTCCTACGGAGACATCGGGGGACAGTCCATGGTGTAGGGCTGCATGGGGTCCTGTCCTCCTGCCATGCTATGGGTGGTGGGTGCTCCCTGGGTGAGCAGAGCTGGCTTCGTGCTGCATCTTATCCCTCTCCTCTCTCCTCCAGGGCTTTCTCTACGATCTGGATAAGGTAAGCAGGAGCAGTGTGCCCCATTCCCTTGCCTCTCCACATCCCCTCCACACCCACCTTCCCCTGTGCAGCCAGGGCTGGGACTCTGCACTCAGGGTAGCAGAGGACAAAGCAGATACTGGTGGTGGCTTGTAGCCTGCTTCCTGGGACACGTCCTGTCGCACAGCAGGAGTGTGAGGCAGGGCCATATCCTGGCCCGCAGCCCCTCTCAGGGAGCCTCTCACACCATCTCTGCTTTTCCAGCAAGTGAAGTCAATCGAGCGCTTCCTGCGTCGCCTGGAGTTTCATGCTAGCAAGGTAGGAGCTGGGGATTGGGTACTTCTGTGGGTTTCTGGCCTCTATTCAGCACTGGGGCCATGGTGCTCTTCCCCACCTGGCTCCCAGGCTCCAGTGATGCCAAGCCAAACCCGCAGTGCCCTGAGCACTGGGAGACCGCCTCAAGAAGCCACTATCCCTGTTGCCACTTGTCCCCCTGCCCCTCACTGCACCCCTTGCCTGTCCTTGCAGATCGACGAGCTGTATGAAGCCTACTGCATCCAGCGGCGGCTCCGTGACGGGGCCCACAACATGGTCAAAGCCTACAGCACGGGCTCACCGGGCAGCCGAGAGGCACGTGAGAGCCTGGCTGAGGCCAGCAAGGGCTACAAGGAGTACACGGAGGTGAGGCAGCCGGCGCTAGGGGGGCTGAGAGGTGTTGACCCTATGGGTGGTAAGTGATGGGTGCTCTGTCCCTTGCCCCCAGAACATGTGCCTGCTGGAGAGTGAGCTGGAGAGCCAGCTGGGAGAGTTCCATGTTCGGATGAAAGGTACTGCATCCCATCCCAGCCCTGGAGCAGCACTAGCCTGCTGTGTCCTATCATCCCTCTGCCTTCTCTTGCAGGGCTGGCAGGTTTCGCCCGGCTCTGCGCTGGTGATCAGTATGAGGTTGGTGGAGCCTTGGGTATGGAAGGGGATCTGTCCTCCTCCCTTCTGCGGTCCATGCTGAGCATGAGGGACACGGGTGGGCCTTGTCCTTGGGTGCTGGTGTCAAGCAGGAATGTATGTTGGGGACCTGTGGTGGGTGGCCCAGGGTTGCAGAGAAAACTCCCAGCCCTGTGAATGATAGAATCACAGAATGTTGAGTTGGAAGGGACCCTTAAAGGCCATCTGGTCCCACTCCCTGCGATAAACAGGGACACCCACAGCTCCATCGGTGCTCAGAGCCCTGTGCAGCCTGATTCCATGCCTCTGCTCTTCTCCCAGATCTTCATGAAGTACGGCCGGCAGCGGTGGAAGCTGCGGGGACGCATCGAGGTGAACAGCAAGCAGGTGTGGGACAGCGAGGAGATGGTTTTCTTGCCTCTCATCACCGAGTTCCTCTCCATCAAGGTGAGGAGCCCTGCAGTCAGAGCACAAGTGGGACAGAGATGCTGTGGGCCAGTGGGCTCTTTCCTGGCAGGAGCTGCGTTAGGGCAACACCTGCAGTGGCTGTGCTGGGCACACACGAGACAGTGAGGGAACTGGACCTCATTCAAACCCACCCTTTGCTGGGACAAGAGGATACTATTCCACGGGGATGGCATCCTGGCAGCAGCCTGAATGATGATGGCCTTGTCTCATCCTCTCCTCCTCCTTCCCCAGGTGACGGAGTTAAAGAGCCTGGCCAACCACGTGGTGGTGGGCAACGTGTCCTGTGAGACCAAGGACCTCTTTGCAGCTCTCCCCCAGGTAGTGGCGGTGGATATCAACGACTTGGGTACCCTCAAACTCAGCCTGGAGGTGACCTGGAAGTGAGTATCTCAGCAGGATTTGCCAGTTGAGTGTAGCAGGAATGGGAACCAACAACCGGCCTATCCTGAGCTTTCACCCATCCCAAAATCGGCCTTCTGTTCTGGAAAGCCAGAGGCTGAAGAGCACCTTGAAGTGCTGTCCGACCCCCCCCTGCTCGCTGCAGCGTTGGGACCTTCCAGCTTAGGATGCTTCCCTCACCTCCCCTCTCTGCCCTGCAGCCCCTTCGACAAGGATGACCAGCCCTCGGCAGCCAGCACCGTCAACAAGGCCTCCACGGTGAACAAGCGCTTCTCCACCTATAACCAGAGCCCACCTGATACGCCGTCCCTGCGGGAGCAGGCTTTCTATGTAAGCATGGAGCTGGGCAACCACGGTTGGGTGGAAGCGCCCACGGTGGGGTTCGCTTTATTGAGTTGAGTGTGCCAGGGGAAGTCCCAGTGGGTGGCACAGCTCCATCCATCCGGCCACGGCTCGCGGCGCCGGCCCCCCTGCCCTCACAGCTCCTCTTCTCTCTGCCCAAGAGCCCATTGCGGGCAGCCGACAAGCACGGCTGGTCCTTGTTGGACATCTTTCGGGAGACACTCTTCGAGAAGCTGTCTCGGAGCTGCTCTTGCGGCGACGTCTCCTCGGTCGAGCTTGGGAGATGGCCGCAGCCAGGCCGCGTAAGTGCGATGGCTGGAGCCGGCCTGTAGCGTAGCCCAGCAGCGTGGCCATCCTGCTGTAGTGTAGCTGCTCGACCCCTGCTCACCAGCGAGTAGAAGAGCTGGCCTTATCCTTGCACTGGTGGCCGTGCCACGCTATGGCATTGGTGTGATGGCCAACACGGTGCTAATGTGGCGGGGTGCTGGCGTGACTCTAGCTTGAAATCGGCGTGGTGCTGGTGTGGCATTGGTAGCATGATGGGGTGGCACTGATGTGACATCGGGATGACAACGGTGTGGGGCTGGGGTGACACTGACATCACACCAGTGCAGCACTGGCACGACGTCGGTGCAGTGGTGTGGTGCCCAGCGTTGGTGACAGGGGTGCAATGTCAACGTGGTGTTGGTGTGGTGTTTGTGTGACATCAGTGTGACGTTGATGTGACACTGGTGCTGCCCTCTGCAGGCTGGTGGTGGGGCTGTTGCTCTCTTGCCGCTGAGGACCCATTAGCACCATGGCAGGGTCCCTCCAGCTGGAAAGGGCAGCAGCGCACCAAGCAGAGCCCATTCCTGCCCCAAAGATCACAGCAGCCTCAGTGCCTCCTGACATGTCGCTGTCCCTTCCCTAGAACATGCTGCGGCGTCAGGAGGAGCTGGAGAACGGCACAGCTTGGTCCATCTCCTCCGAGTCGTCAGATGACTCCTCCAGCCCCCAGTTGTCCAGCAGCACTCGTCACGCCGCCCACAAGCCCATCGTGCAGCCCGAGGTGCAGGCCTCGGCCCCTGCCATCGAGATCTCCTTCTCACAGCAGCAGGAGGAGACTGGGGCTGGCGGTGGCATCCCCATTGGGACAGACCTGCCTGAGCCCCCAGAGGAGCAGGATGGCTGCAAGAAGGACGCTGTGGCCAACGGGCATGTGCCCTACACCCGGACTCTCAGCCACATCAGTGAAGCCAGCGTGGATGCGAGCATGGAGGCCAAGGCTATGGAGGGCCCATGGGAGCCCTCTCCCAGCCTGGAGGAACACGATGCGTGCAAGCTGGACGATGACTCCCTCCCTGGTGCCTCGAATTCGGTGCCAGAGACCTGGGCAGGGAAGGACAGTGGCCCTGAGGCCAAGCCACGTGCCATGGTGGCATGGGCTGAAACCCATGAGGTGGAGGCTGAGCCAGTAGCAAGCCCAGCACCAGTGCAGGACGTTTGTGGAACTGAAGCCCCCACGCCAGCCGTGGTGTTGGCACAGGCCCCCGCAGAGGAGGGGCCCGTCCCAGCCCCACACCTGGTCACCAGCCCCCCAGCGGTCCCACGGGTGAAGGCTGTGGACTCAGGGCTGGAAGAGGCCATCAGCCTCCTGGCCTCGGCCCTGGATGACTATCGGGGACAGTTTCCAGAGCTGCAGCCCCTGGAACGGGAACTCAAACATCTGGAGGAGATCCTGCTGGTGAGGAGGCCCAGAGGGAGTCCGCAGCAGGGAACAGTGACAAGAGCCATGGCACTGCCCAGGGCACGAGGGTGGTGGGGCCATCCCTGATGGCGCCGCTCAGCTGTGAGGGTGGTTGGGGCATCCCTGATGGCAGTGACCAGTGACAACAGTGGTGGGGTCATCCCTTATGGCAGTGATGAGGGTGCTGGGGCCATCCCTGATGGCACTGCTGAAGGGACAAGGCTGGTGGGACCATCCCGGGTGGCAGTGACCAGGGATGAGGGTGGTGGGGTCATCTGGATGGTACTGCCCAGAGTACAAGGGTGGTGGGCCCATCCATGTTGGCACCATTCAGTGACAACAGTTGTATGGGAACTGTTGAGTTCCTGAACCACTGATGGAGCACCTGAGGAAGGGACCCGGTCAGTCCTGGGAGCACAGGTGAACGCAGTTCAGCTGTGTGATAGGAAGGGGTGGAGTTTGGCTGCACCTCTCTTAGACCTCATTTAAGGGCTGGCTGCCACTGGGGAAGGATCTCTGGTTGGAGATCTCTTCTTGGTGAAGCTTTCCCTTGTGAACCTGGGATCTTCTGGTATGGGTAAGCAATCTTCTTCCCTTACTTTATATCATCTTTCTGTCGTGCTGATCCTTTGTTACTACGCCTCTGGTGAAGCACCTTTTTTCAATCATATTGATCTGTCCAATTGTTACGACAGTGCTGGGGACATCCCTCATGACAATGACTGTAGTGGTGGGGCCATCCTTGACCTTGACTCAGGGATGAGGGTACTGAGGCCCCTTAGAGTGGCTTGCTAAGATCTGACCATTCTTTCCTTTGCAGCACAAGCAGGGTGTGTTTCTCAGCCGTGCCTCCAGCATCAGCCTCACAGTGGAGCACGCTCTGGAGAGCTTCAGCTTCCTCAACACCTCTGACATGGAGGACTCGGAGGGCTCAGAGGAAGAGGCTCTGCAGGATGAGAGGTGTGCGGAGCAGTGTCTCATGGAAGAGGCACAGCAGGGGTTGGGGTGCTGAGCTCTAGTGGGGAAGGAAGGGCTGGATTCAGGTGCCCTGTGCTGATCTGGCTCAGTCTCTCGCTGGTTTGCAGGAGGGCCAGCAGAGCGCGGCGTGGAAGCAGGGCTCCCAGTGCTGGTGAGGTGGGAGCAGATGATACTGGAACGTGCAGTGGCTCCGAGGGCAGCGCAGACCCCATGAGCACCAGCAATGAGTTCCTGGATAAGGCCCTGGTGCTCCACCTCCACAACTGCAACCGCCTGCTGCTGGTGAGACTGGGGACTGGGACGTGATGGTGGGACACATGGTGGGGTTGGCCATGGCTCCTCACAGTTTCTGGCTCCAGTAAGCCCCTCTGAGATGCCTTGCTGTGCTGGGGTCTGGGCGCCATGCTGTCCTTAAGGTCACTGGCATACCTGTGCCTTACAGAACCTGGGCACCTTTGGGCCTCTGAGGTGCCGGGAGATGTTTGCCCTGGACAGGCTGCTGCGGGAGGCACAGGTGCTGGAGATCGTGTGCCAACTGATGGAGGAGCGGTTGGAAGCAGCGGGCTCTGCTGCCGGAGGTAAGGGCAGCAAGGGGCTGCGCAGGAGGATCTGCCAGCTGGATGTGTGGCTTGACACCGCCTGTCCCTGCAGTGGTGCAGTTCTCAACGCGGAAAGAAGGGGTGCTGCCCCTTTGGGACCACTGTGTGGAGCTGCCCAACATCTACACCTGCCCCGTGGAGCGGTTCCTGCAGGTGCTCAGTGCGCAGTACGCAGCACCCATCAGCGAGCGGCACCCGGGACTGGCTGATGCGGGTGAGCCTGTGGGTGTGCAGGAAGAGAATCTCCAACCCTACGAGGTACTGCGCACCCTGACCTCATTATTTTCCCGCAGTATGTGTGAAGCTGGTGGAAGATGTGCTGAATCGGCGGCTGCCACGACGACCCGGTGGCACCCAGGGTGAGCAGGTCACCATCTTCCAGTATTGGAGCCACTTTGAGTCCCTCGGCGCCCTGGTGCTCGACACCTACGTGATGGAGCTGGCAGAGGAAGGTGGGTGCCCCTCTGCCAGGCTCTGAGCTGGAAGCAGTAGGGTGTACAGCACTATGGGGTATCACCCAAGGGCTCACTCACCCTGACCATTGCTGGTGCTCAGCCCCCTCCTACGCTCCCATCCTGGGCACCCTTTGGACCTCACTTTCTGCAGGTCCCCAACTCGGGTGCCCCCAGCATCCTATGTGGGGTCCCTCCGCCTGCTGTGGGTGGAGGCCGAGCTCCCCACGGATGCTCGGCTCACCAGGCTGTCCCCACAGTGCTGCTGGCACAGAACCTCAACTCAGACGACCAGGACGTGGTGCTGCGGGCACTGAAGCGTGTGCCTGAGGGCCGCCTGAAGAAGGAAGGGCTGAAGGCGCTCAGCTTGCTGCTCGTGGAAGGAAACAGCAAGGTGGTGAGCGCCGTGTCGGCGCAGCTCCGCAGCCTGGCGGAAAACCCCCGCTTCCGCCAGCGGGTATGCCATGGGCAGGAGGGGAGCACGTGGGCTCTGGGCTGCTGCTTGGAGCGGTGGCACTGAGCCCTCGCTCTGCCCCAGGCCCTCGTGTGTTTCCTGGGACAGCTGGAGGATGAGGAGGTGCAGACACGCGTGGCTGGCTGCGTGGCGCTGGGCTGCCTCAAGGTGAGATGGGTGCACAAAGGAGCCCATGTGGTATTTGCTTCCAGGCTGAGCTGGCTGTGGGGTGGATGGAGAAGAACTGATGCTGCCTGCTACTGTTTCTGCGAGGCCTCCAGCTCCTAGGGGTGCCCCAGATGTGCTGGGGTACAGTAGAAAGGGAAAGGGGGCACAGCCAAGGGTTCTAATTGGATGATCTTGAAGGTCCCTTCCAACCCAAGCCATTCTATGATTCTGTGACTTTTTCTGCCCGGGGCTGGTCTGGAGGTTGAGCTGTAATAGGGGCCTGCCCTGCCTGCTACCTACCATTGCAGGAACCTTGCTGCTTTCCCATGTGGGTCACATCCATGTGGCTGACACCAACCATGCTCAGCCCTCTCCTCTCTCCTACAGGCCAAGGAGAGCATTGAGCAGCTGGTCTACCTGTGCCAAACAGACAAGGAGCCTGTGCGGGAGGCAGCCAAGCAGAGCCTGATGCTGTGTGGTGAGTGTCCTGCATCACCCCTGCTCACAGCTGCCAGAGGGGCATCACCCCATGTCACACCACCCAAGGGAGAAAAGGACCTGGGCTGATCCCTGCCTGCCCTTTGCTCTGGCTCATGGTGCCCAAACTCTGTGGGGTGAGAGCAGTGGTGGGCAGCAAGGATTCCTGTGGGCACAGCCCTAAGCGTGGGTGTTATTTATTATTTGCTAGATGGCACTGAGAGAACCATCTGAGTGGGTTTCTAGGCCTCCAGATCGTGGCAGCTGCTGCACAGGTTGGGACATGTGAGCTGTCCTTGTCCCTCAGCCCCCACTCCTGCTGCTTTGCTCACGAATGTCTCTGTCTTAGAGCCTGTCAGCCATGTCACTTCTTGGAGTCTGTGTGTCTTGGTTGTTCGTAGCCCCACAGCAATGCCTGCGCACATAGGTGCCACGTGTCCTGTGTCCCACGTCACCAGCCCTGCTGGGGACAGCTGCTGTGTGCAGATCTGTGTGCAGGGCTGCTGGGCAGAGGTCTCTCAGCATGGAGCGTGCAGCCCTGTGTGTATGCGGGGGTGTTGGGAAGCTCTCGGGGTCCCTGTGTGGGCGCATGCAGAAGTGCACAGCAGGTTGGGATGCTGCACCTGGCACAGCCCCGAGCCTGGCCCCCTTGCCCTAGCTCCTGGCCTGGGAACTCCATGGGCTTCTAGAGATGGGATTTGTACAAGGGTGTGCTAAGGAGAATGTAAGAATCACAGAACCATTAAGGTTAGGAAAAAACTCTCAGATCCCCAAGTCCCAGCCTGTCCACTGACCGTACTTCCCAGCGCCACATCTCCATGGTTCTTGAACTCCTCTGGGCACTCCCACACCTCCCCAGGTAGCTGTGCCAACACATTACCAGGAGCTCTGTGGCTGTACCACGCTGGTTCAGCTCTGTCAGGCATCGGCATCATTTTTGTCACAAGACAAAAATGGGAAGCTGGCTAGGGATGGGATGGAACAGAACTGCCTTTTGCTTCACTGACTGTGGCCTGTGCTTGCAGGGGAAGATGGCAAGTCAGCGCACCGGCGACTGGAGGAGACCCTGGACAGCCTCCCACGGATCTTCGCCCCAGCCAGCATGGCCAGCACGGCTTTCTGAGATGCCACGCAGAGCCACCCGCCATCCCTCGAGGACAAGGGCACTGCTGGGCTGCGCTTGGGCTCGCAAAGGCTGGGCCCAGCCGACGGCCCTGCCCACAGCAGCACTTGGGCACCACCCCCGCCGGCAGCTCGCCGCGGCCGCACACTGCCTTACGGAGCACCGCTTCCCCTGCCCCGAACACCAGCCGTGCGGGGGGCACACACGCACCCCTGGGCGAGGAGGGGCTCGCTGCACACCCCACCCTTCGACTGCTATTGAAAACACACAGGGAACCTTCGTGCTACAGCTGCTGATCGGAGCGGCAGGGAGACGCACCGGATTCCTCTCTGCCTCTTGCCTTCCCGTCGCTCGGGGCCGCGTGCCCTTTCCTGGAAGGACTCACACTGTGGAAACGATGCTGTTTCTTTCCAGAAGTCGCTTGGGCTGGGAGGGAACCGCTGCCCTTTTTGCCGCCTGGAAGTCCACAGGACTTAAATAAAATGAGATATGAGATATATTAATATATTCTGCTGGCGTTTCTTCTTTCCAGCTCTGCATGCTCCTGTCCCTCCCCAGCGGTGGAACCCAGCCCAGAGCCCTTCCCTCTGCTGGGGAGGGCAGGGCAGGAGGAGCGACAGAGGGACGGACAGACGGAGGACGCTGCCACCTTTTCCTTTCGTTCCTGTTTGTTTTATTTTATTTTTTATTTACGATTTTTTTTTTTTCAGAAAAAAAAGCAACAAATTCTTTTCTATAATGTCTCTATAGATCTATATATAATGTAATTACAGAGAATGACTAATTTTGATTTTAAACCAGAAATAAAAGCAAACCTTTACTGAGCTGTGGTGTTGCTGTGTGGGTGTTTGTCCCCCGTGCCAAGGGGCAGGGAGCTATGGCCTGTGTGTTGCTCTCTGGACAAAGCTGGGTGTTTCTCAGGTGAGGCTCAACCTTCTGGTTTTACCAGCAGTATAGCAGGCATCTCTTTCAGCAAAGCAAGGAGCTTTCACTTTCTCTGAGCTATATGAGAGTTAGCAATATGCTGCAGAGCATGGGAAGCCTCACCAAGGTGCCACACCGCAGTGGACAGAGCAGGTTCCTCAGAACAGGGAAGCCCTGACCTGCCCCTGAGCAGAGAAGGGAGGCAAGGGCTGCAAGTGAGAATGGTAGCACCATGTATGTCTCATTACAATGATAACAAGCCACAGCAGATCAAGGAATTATGGAATAGAGTTGGGAAAGGACCTCTGAACATGGCCTTCACACGGCCTTCCATTCCTCCCCACTCAACATGCTGGAGCAGGCTGCTCAGGACCACATCGTGTCAGGTATTGACTGTTTCTGAGGATGGAGATGGCAGAACGCTTCTGTGCTACGTGTTCCAGTGTTCAGCCACCCCTGCACAAAAAGCATTTCTTTAGTTTCAATGGAATTCCTGTGTTCTGTTATCAGTATGGCTCTCATTCTGTCACTGGGCAACACTGAGGAGAATCTGCCTGTCTTCTTTACCCACCACAAGTGTTGAGAGACATGGATAAGAACCGCTCCAAGCCCTCATTCTTCCAGGCTCTTTTTTATATGGCAGATGCTCCAATCTCTTAATCATCTTAGCAGCCATCACAGTTCTGAGGGGGAGCAGGTTAAAGCAGCAAAAGGCGCCAGCAGTGGCAAAGACCCCTGGGGTCAGCTCCAGCAGCATCACACCACGGTGCACAGGGTGTCCCACATGGGAAACGTGCTTACTGCAAGTGGTTGGCAAGCACCACGTCAGCAGCAAGGGCACCCAGGCATCTCTCATACTGGGGTGTGCTTTAGTACCATAAGCCTGCAAGGCCAGGAGGGGGCTCAGGGCAGCTTGGTCAGCTCTCTGCCACCCAGGTCTGTGCTGGGTATCTGGGACACGGTAGCATCAAGCAGATACAGCACCACCTCAACAAACCTGACATCTGTCAGGGTGCTGCTTTCAGAGCAACTGCTTTTGGATGTGGCTTTATCTGCAGACAGGATTGCAGGAAAGGTACGAGCAGGAGATGCTTTGCTCCATCAGTGCTAGCTTAGCATTATTCCACCTACGTGGGGGCTGGACAAGCCTCAGGCCAAAAGCACAGTATTTCTCCCAAAGCTCTGAATCATGCTCTCAGCTGCAGGCAGCAGGAGTGAGAACAGGGGTCTTGGCTGGCACATGCTGCAGTTGGGTAATAGCCTGTGGACAGAAACACCCTGAAGGTATTAAGTAGCCCAGACTGTGTTCGGTGTCGTTTCTTTTTCCCCCAACTAACCCCTGGAAATACCAACGGTTCAGTGCTCCAGCAGCCTATGTGTGTGTTCTCCTTGCTCTGCCAAAGCCTGGCCCCATCCCTGCAGCAGAATACCATCTTCCAGGATAAGCTGTACCTTGGCTGCAGAGATTGGAGCAGGAAAACAGCCTTCTGTCAGGGCAGGCAGGGTGCTGCACGTCAGTACAAAATGACTCTGATCCTGGAAGTCCTAGGAATAATCTCATTTGTGTGGCTTTAACATCATCTAGAAAAAAAAAAATATATATATATATATATATGAGTCAATTTAGGAATGTATTGCCTAGTCCCTTGTTCTGAATGAGTTTGCAACAGCATCACCAAGGATCCATTGGTGATGGGGAAGGGAGGACTGAACTTTTCCCTCCAGGACTTCACGTGTGCTCCAGCCCTTATGCAGGAATTGTGCAGCTCCATGGATCAGCTTGCTGGGTGCCACTCTTTGCACACACGGATGGATGCTGCACCACAGAGTGCACTGTGCAGCAGCATGTTTGCTGTTTCAAAGGAGACAGTGCTCCAGCACCACGTTTGTCAGCCCAATCTGTGTCAGCACTCCAAACATCTCTCCCTCTCACGGATGTGCGTGTGTGCTCAGCAGCACCAATGACTGTTGCAGCCACTTGCTTTTTTGTAGGAGCTGCAGTCCGTGGGAAGGTGTCTGTGTCATGGTTACATTACCCACGTGCTCTGGGAAGACTTTCCTTCACCCCACTTACTGCTGTTTTCCTTGTAAATAAAGGAGCACGCAGCCTTTTTGTACCAGCAAAAAAACAACCAGCCAACGTGTCCTCCCCTTGGAGAGCATCAGGGCAGGTGCAGCTGCTCAGCACAGTCAGATTCGGTGACCCCGAGAGCACCAAACAGAACAACCCCAAGCAGACACTGCCTCTTTGGGGCATCACAAGCTCTGATCATCCCTCCTGACTAAGAAATGACCGAAATTTTGATGTCCGGCCACATTTAGGAGATCACAGGAGTTGGAGATTCTCTTGCTTGAGCAGGCTCAGATTTGGACCACTCACCTTAGCCAAGGCTTGTATGAAACTGTGCTTCCAAAGCATTCACTACACACGTTTTAGGACACTCATAAAAGATTCAGAAGGCCAAGTGCTCTGCATTTAGCTGTAGCAAAACAACAGCATCCTCAGGGTCACTGACTGTTCAGTGCAGGACTGTTGGTACACACACCACGGGCTTGTTCTTCAGGGACCACCTCTGAGGTGATAGCTAGGGCTTCACTTCATACAGAAATCAAAGCGTGCTCCAGGCGGTGTCCAAAACTAAATTTAAACTAACATTGATGTTTGCTCTCCTTCTTAAAGAAGAGGGCGATTCCCACCTCATACAGTCTGAAGGTGATCAGAGAACAGAGTCAGAAACAGCAGGAAATGAGGGCTCAAAGCTGAGCCGGGAGCTCATCAAGGCAGCCAGGGGCTCCCTGGCTCTAGCTCCCACAATTTCTGCTCATGGGCAAGCGGCTCCAGGACAAATAACTTCAGATACCTCCGATAACTTCCAAGCAACTTCTGCCTCTGGGTGTCTAATCTGGAGATGCTAGGAGGGTGATTTTCGGGAGGCTGAAAGTAGGGCAGTGGGATGTATTGCAAAGGCTTGAATCCTCTGCAGATCAGCTCAAAAGCACCTCTGATGGAGGGATCCAAGGCCAAGAGGTCAGCTGTACCCCCAGCACGCACTGGTAGATGGTTTCACACATCTCTGCCAAGAAAAGGCCACGAGAAAGTGCCTGAGAATACTTTCTGCTTCCTCACACAAAAGGACGTGCAACATTTGCCACTGGACAGCTACCAAGAAAAGGCAGATGGAACATTAGAAGCCAGTTACTCCTGGCCTGGTGTGAGTATTTAGAGGATAGTAAAACGTCATCTTACATCAGACAGTGCTCCTCTTCACGTTAAGCAATGCTGACCTAAGCTTTTGAGCTTAAAGCAGGATTTGTGGCCACACATGAAACACATGTTACTCTCCTCAAAGTAAGAAGCAATGGTTTGATGGCTTGTAATAAAAAAACTGCAATCAAATTCACACCACAGAAGCAATTAAGATCCCCAGATGTTACAGCAGGGGGCTGCACCCTCTCAACTCCTGTAACTGTCAATCTGTGACATCACTTTGTCACTAGCTTTTTCCTCCTATGGATGAGGTTAAAGAATGAGAGCCACATCCCAGCCACAGCACACCCTCTGCAGCTGCCTGCCATGCTGTTTCCCGTGCTGGAATGAAGTAATGGACTCGGGCTGGTGCCACCACCCTCCAAAATGAACCAACAGCCCTTAAAGGACCACTGGTGCCACAGCCCTCCCACCAACATAAACGTTGGGAGGGCAGAAGGTGAAATAAGCCCTGAGAGCAGAGGCACAGAGCTCACCTCCTCCACAGCATCCTGGCAAGCTCTTCCCATCCCTACGACAGCTCCACAGCATGACTGATGTTCAGGCTGGGATTTAAGGGCACCATTTACACAGGCTAATGTATGCTGCGTCTGTCTGATAGTTTTGTCACTTGCCAAGCAGGTTGGGGTGTTTGGCTGGGCTGCCAAACAACTTTTGCTCCTCTATGACACCTCACAAGGGAAAAATCTGAGCAGGAATTTTTTATCAGCCTCAACTGCAGCAACCCCAGAACTGCCCAGCCTGGTGCTGTTTGGGTCTCTGCCTTTTCTCTGAGCTGTCTGTAGGCCATGTCAAAGTAGGAAGAAATAACTTCTTTCCGACGCACCTTAAACCATTCAAATTTTAACCCAGCTTCACTTTGCATGCTTTAATGGTAGGAAAATAAAAACGGGGCACAGCGTGAGCTCAGAGGAAGCGCCCTCAGCTCGCCTCTGCCAGTGCTGAGGTAAATCTGGGCGCTGAGGTAAATCTCAGCACGTTCCACTCAACCGCCAACTCGTCGGTATTTACAAAATCACCCGGAGGTTTCCCTCGAATTCAAGGCAGCCCTGTCAGCTCCTCGCCCAACTCACAACACCCATCGATCCCTCAAGCCCCCTCGGTACTATCTGCACCCTGGACTCGTGCCACGCCTTCCCCGTTCCTACAGCTGAGGCGGCTTCCCGCCCCAGGGCGGATGCGGAACGGACACAAAACTCGGGGCGCTGCTTACAGCGCCCCGCTCCCCTCAGGGCCGGGCGGGCCGGGGCGGGGCACAGCCTCCCCTCAGCGCGCCGCCGCCCCGCCCTCCCTACCACGTGACGCACGCACGCACACGAAGTGACGCCGCCGCCCCAGCCCGGCGTTTGAAGTTGGCGCGCGCCCCACGCCCCCCCCTTTCCCCCGCCCCGCCCCGCCCTCCCAGCACACCCCGCGCGCGGCCGCTTCCCCGCGCGCGCCGTCCCCTCCCCCCCTCCCCCTCCCCTCCCCGCTCCGGCCGGCGGTCCGCGGCAGCCGCGCTCGCGCAGGCGCACTCCGCCCCGCCCGCCGCCATTTTGTGTCCGAAGCGACTGTGGAGCGATTAAACCGCGAGCTGGTGCCGGGCGCTAGCGGCGGCCGCGGCGGGGCGCGAGGGGAGCGGCGGCTCCGCGG